TTCTCTCTCTACCTCTCTACCCAAACCCATCTCTACTTATAAAGTCTTCAAAACTCAATTCGTTGTTAGACAAGAATTATACCACTTGCCTACAAAGAGTTACCAAATCAATCTCAATTCTAAAATAGAAACACAATGAGACACAATTTCTTTTACAAATTATAGTCGTCCAAAATGAAAAAAAAATAAAATAAAATAAAAAATAAAAATAAAAAACTAATTTATACAATCTTTAGCCAACCCAACATTAACCTCACCTTAACATCATATCGCGATGACAAATGAATGCAAATAATTGGATAAGTTCCGTTTTTGGTTTGAAAAGATATGAAAAATAAAATATTGAATGCAAGTGAGATTCCATTTCAATAATCAAGTTAAAATGTTCTCATTCAACCACTAAAACATTGATTTAAAACCCCAAAGCAAGTCCCGAAACACATCCTTAAAGAATAAGGGAAAGAAAAGGAAAAAAAATAAACCAGTGTTGCACCTGTGCAAAATATTTTGCATGGGTGTTTGGAATAGTTGGTGCTAACGAAATCAACTTGCGGCCCATTTAGTCTGACCACGAGTTACAACCAATTAGTCATTTTCTCGTGTTTGAAACCCTATCCCTTGGTTGTCCACAGCCACAGACCTAGCATAGGCCCAATGGGGAAAGATGCCCCCACTGGAAATTTTTTATTTATATTACTATCTAAATATTTTGTTAAAATTTTAATAATGCCCTCACTTAACTTTTTGAAAAATACTCCATTATATACTCTTGGCCCCACTGATTTTTTTAGATCCAAAAGATTTTAATCAATTATCTCCCTATAGTTAAGTAATTAGGTTCTTGTGATTAATATTTTATTATTTTTTTAAAATTATCTTTAACTTCATTTTCTCAACTTAATACTGTAACAGCCTACTCTAGCACATAATATAATATTGTTCGTTTTGGGCTCATGCCCACACGAATTTGTTATTTGGTTTTACCTTAATGTTGCGTTTGGTGTGCATGAATAAAATGTAACGGATTGTATTGCCAAATCCAACCATTCATTTGTTTAGTATGCAATTTAAATCATTTTCCCAAAAAAATCTCATGTTCCAAGTTTAAAAACTACCACCACCATCACCACAAACACTGCCGCCGCCTCCTTCCACCACCACCACCACCATCACAATCACCTGTGCATTTCACTACTGCCACCTTCATTGCCTTTCACCACCACTACCAATGCCACCACCACCTTCCACCACTACCACCTTCGACCACCACCACCGTCATTGCCACCACCCCTGTCACTATTACCGCCCCCATTGTCATCACTACCGCTACCTCCTCCACCACCACATACACCATTGCGATCTTCCACTACATTTACCATCGTTAGTGCCACAGCCAACATTGTTGCTGTAATGTTCCTAAATTTTATCATTTTTCAATTTATGGAATTTTATGATTTTCGGGGGTATTTTCGTCTTTTCTCGTTTTACTAACCAGACACCGTGGGGTGTGCCGGATGCGTCAGATAGTGGTTTGTGACATCTCTTTGGGTTTAGAACTCTTGGAAATGTATCGGTGGCCATTTCAGCACTTTTCTGTTTTTCAGACCGGGAAGTCCCGGCTAGGACTTGCTACTGAGACTGTTGTGTTCGGGAGTGGTGTCATGGGTCAATTTTATTTCATGCATAATTAATTTCTGTATATTTGCATTATTGTGGCTTAAATTTATGTGGATGTGATTCAGTATGTATATTTATATATTTAAGAAAAAGAAAAATCTTTTGGGAGATGAGACCCACTATTATTTCATTTAAGGCCTAGAGGCATTTTTTTTAGCCTTACTTTTCTTTCTTTTTCTCTCTCTACATAAGTCTCTCTCTCTCTTTCTCTCTCTCCCTCTTTCATTTTCTTTTTCTTTTCCTTTTCCTTTTTTGCTTCAAAATTTCAAATCTTGATTTCTCTCCAACCATTTGGAGTTTGCTTGTGCTGTTTGCGGCAAGTCGGAGAGCTTGTCAAGATCTACGATTTGATCGGAGCCAATCTCCGTTTGGCCACCTTTGGGGAATTCGAAATTCTAGGGTTTGGGGAAGGAAATTGGGGCTTCTTGTGGAATTGCACTCTAATTGAAGTAGGGGTCCTCCTAATACCTAAGTTTTGGTTCTATTTGTGTAAATTTCTTCTTTCTTTATCATGTCTATAGAATTATTAAACTTTAGTATGAAATTAGGGTTTATTAATGCCTTTGATATGATAAATTATGTTATTGTGTATGTGATTATGTAATAAGCATGCTTATAGTTGAATTTGCACATGTTTTACCTTGGTTGATGATTGATCTGGTTGTATGAGATTTCTAAATCTTGCCATAATCTTTCCTTAATTATTATAATATGCAATGATGGAGTTGTTCTTGGTATAATGATGGACTCATGACTTTGAGAATGAATGGTTATATATGGCATATCATGGCATAAAGAGGGGTTTTGGAAATGGATTGAAAAGGAAAAAATTTCTTTATATTGAAAGCGAAGTTTTTGATAATGGAAGGGAAGTTTTTGTTTTTTTTTTTTTTAAATAAACCGGATTTCGCGAGTTCAGGGCTAGCTTGATCTAGAGGGAGCACGGCCCGGTATTGGGCGTGAAAAAGTTGATACTAGACCCTATAACGGTTGCCAGGCATTGCCATAATTGGAACCGAAGATAGTCATCAATCTCGCCTCGGTAAAGTCAGTTAGCGGGTTTTCAAAAGTTGTAGGTTTGACCGATTTAGACTAAGTTGGAAACGGAGTGCATTACATTTCATTATCATGCACGGCACTAGTAGAACTTGTGTTATATGCTGGGAATATTTTTTGCTTATTGTAATGTTCCACATACCCCAAAGCATGATTCCTTCATCTCGTTTCCCTTACGTGTTATGTGACTCAAGGGAGTTCAAAACTAACGTCTTAGGCGACTTCTACTGGGTTTGATGCTCACCCCTTAACTCAATATTTTTAAGCTCGGGAAAGGAGGTGGTGGAAGAAAATCCACCATAAGTTTAGCGGACTATAAGTTATTTCACCTTCTTTTGTATAAAGGACCCCATTCCTTTATGTAAAACAACACTTTGGAAGAATGTAATTGTTTTGTGTAAAGCATAACCATATTTTGTAAGTTTAATTTTGATAGTATTTTGATGTGTTCGGGACTATGTATAATATTGTGTTTTGTATGGAAAATGATGTGTAATTTGGGAAGTTGATTAATATATTTATCTCAGGAATGCTATTTATGTTGCCGTGAATTCAGAAATTGTTTGTATATCAGGTTTTGTACAGGTCAGCTCACAATGGGCCTAGTTTATCTGATGTTTTAGCTACAGATAGCAGCATTTCAGGCCTGTCGGCCAGCTGACAAGGACCATCAGCCGGCTGACAGTGCAATTTTTGGTATTCCAGTAGGTCGTGTTAGTGATAATGTTGTTTTGGCCGCCTGATAAGCATTGTCAGCTGACCGAACCCTTTTGTTAATCGGCCGATGTTGGATGATCGATTGGCCGACAGCTCTCTTTCCTAAAGTCCTGAGAGTGAGTAGTTTTGGAAATCGTTTCGGTCGACTGACCATCTCAGCCAGCCAGCCAACCATGTACTTTTAGCCGGCCGATGAACGGCCATCAGCCGGCTGACATTACCCATCGACCTGCACCTTAACTTTTTCTTCTGAGTTGTAGTTTAGAGCATACTTTGGACTTTTGAATGAATTGAGTACTACTTATGGACATAGGAAATGACGATTGTACCTTTGTTGACCTCGGGTTTGGGTAGGGGCCCGGTTAACGGTCCTGACTCATGGGTTCGGGTTGTTATAGTTGCTGCCTTCCACCATCACCACACCGCCTTCCACCACCACCACACCGTTGTTGCCTCAACAACCTTTCATCGTCGCCATCGCCACCATAACCTTCCACATTGCCTGTGCCTCCGACTTCCACCGCCACCATCTTCCACATTCCACCACCACTACCGCCACAGACCTTCAACACCACCTCTGCCTTCCACCGTCACCACCTTCCACCATCGCCACCTACTTTCACCACCGCAACCGCCTTCCTCCACCACCACCGCCTTCCACCACCACCGTTGCCATTTATTTTGACCAATGCCACCGACTTCCACCACCACCACCACATTTCACCACCATCGCCGCCATTGATTTTCACCACTGCCACCGCTTTCCACCACCGCCACCTTCACTGCCTTCCACCACGACCATCACCACCGTTACCTCTACTGCCTTCCATCATCGCCACCTTCCACTACCATTACCCACACCACTATTTCCTTCCACCACCATCACATTACTACCACTGCTGCTGCCTTCCACTATCGCCACTACCGCTGCCTTCAAACACCACTACTGCTTTCCACCATCGCCGCCATTTCTTTTAAAAAAAAATTAGAAAAATGTTATTTTGTTAATTTAATTTATTTGTCAATTAGGGGTATTTTCAAAAATTTATTTTGAAATTCATTTCTTTCTAAATTTTAATTTGATTCAATCAATCACTAAAATGATTATTATCATTCTATTTTAACACATTTCATATTTACAATCAAATAATAGAATGAGAATTCCCATTCCATTTATACACACCAAACCAACATAAAAAGGTTTACCAACAGGCCTGTAACCTAGCGGTACAAGGCTTCTACCTCCTAAAGGGAGGTCAGGGGTTCGAACCTCATTGGAGACAGTGCGGGTGAGCCCCAACTAAAAAAAAAAAAAAAAGGTTTAATGCCATTTGAAGAAAACACTCGTACATATAACCTAAAAAAAAAGTAAAAATAAAATAAATAAATTTTGGTAACTCGTAAACACTTCACCTTCAGTCTTATTTTTTAAATTATAAGAGAGGTTATTATTATTTAAGTAATCTATGAAGCATAGGGAAGTATAATTATTATTATTATTATTTTTAAAAGAAAGGGCAAAGAAGTTAGTTGCTCTGTATTAAGAGAAAAAAATACACCATATGAAAGGCGGTTTTGACGTTCGCGAACAGAAAAGAGGTGAGAGAGAGAGCGCAGAGAGCAAACTGGCACAATCCTACAGCTTAGCGCATGCTTCGAGTCTTCGACCATTACAACCTCCCAACTCAGACTCTATTCCCATATTTCGCGCCACAATCGACACCTACACAACCACTTTCTCTCTCTCTCTCTAAAACTCGTCCTCAATCACATCTACACCTTCACTTTCTCTCTCTAGCCATTCTTCTCATTCTCTCTCTATATGCATATACATCATACAGACATATCTCTCTCTCTTTCCCTCGTCAACGAAGATAATCAGAAATGGAATCAACAGGATTTCGTTACGCTTCATCCACTCAGGCTCCACCAAAGCGTTCTCCGCCGCTCAAATCACCAGTTCCAAGTGCATCGGCTCCAAGTTCATCGGTTCCTAGTGCGTCTCTCTCTCTCTCACACACACATTGAGATCTATGGTATCTAATCTGCTTTCCGTTTAGCGTTGCGTGTGTTTGAATTTTCTTCAATGTTTATCGCTTATAAATTATATCAGAACTCTTATTTGTTTATCACTCTGTTTTTCTTCTAGAAAGACTACAGGTGAGCTTCTTCAGAATTTGGTGGCTTTTGATAATTGTTTAACTGAATCAAAACCCTAGAAATAGTCGAATTATTGTGTTTTGTTGTAATTGATTAGTTGGACTCGAATTAATTGGTTGCATGATGAATGAAGTTGATTATTTGAAGTTTGCTTTATTTCTCCTTTTGACGGAATTCTTTTCCAATTTTTATTCTGAAATTCAACATTTTAAATGTGAGCTATTTCTGCTCTGAATTTTATTTTTGCTGTGCTTTTCCAGTGAAAGTTTAGTGTATGGATAGTGATTGTTGAGAAAATCATTTTACTTGATAAATGCAGCTGACATTTGTTCCACAATGTTGCTCACTAACTTCACAAGAATTTAGGAATAATTTGTTGACATTCTATTTTATTCTGGAAATACTTTTTTTTTGCTTTAGAAATAAAATTTGTTTTATTTTTACTTGAAATAACAAGAACATAAATTTTAAAAGCTTATGAAGCAGTTTCTTACCTTACCATAATTTTTTACATTACCTGTATGAGGTTCAATCTTAGATGACCGCAGATTGAACAAAAAGATTTTAGTATATATGCATATTTCAGTTCGGTTGAAACAATGTTTTATTCTTGGTATTTAGCAAATGCCATTTCTAAGAAATCATGAAAATCATGGTAGGATAGCATAAATTGCATTCAATTTGTTAAGGTCATGTAATTAGGGTCCACTTATTCAATTATTTAGGTTTCTTGATAGCATGTATAGAAGATTTTGGAAATAAATGTTGTTGCAAATGTGTTTGCCCTATGTATTTGTTGCTCTATTATTTTCTTTTCATTGGATTTTAGCATCGCATGTGATCTGAAAGTTTCCTAGTATGTAGAAAGGGGCTTTTGGTTTTATCATTTTTGTAATGCTCCCTGATTGATAACTCGAATAAACTTTTTGCTTGATTAAAATTTCTTATTTAGTGCTTTGGTTGATTGATCATCATTATGTTTATACAATGATTTTATGGAGGCAACTGTTCTGAACAAAGCTTGTACAGAGACACATGCGAAGTTGGCTCTCACTTTTAGAGTAAATTTGTGCCGGTTTCATGACTTTCTGCTGCATCAGGGTAGTTAAGAATTGAGTTGTCCCTCATCAGTTTTCTTGTTGACTATAAACCTGTTAAGATGCTTGGGTTAACTTCTCACAGTTTAGTCACTTCACTGTGTTTGTGGATTATTGCATGGATGGAAGAGTGTCATTTCTATGATTTTTTTTTACTATTGTCAGCCTTGGTAATTTATCCACAGTGGGTCTGATGTCGCTTTGATTTGGCAATTGGATATTGATAACTATCAATTTTCCTTTTATAGATAACTTCCAAAAAGGAAATTTTCCTTTTATAGATTTGAAGTGATTTTTTTTTTTTTTTTTTTTTAATGGTTTTTGCCAATCATTGTATTCTGTTTTTCTCTTCTTGCTCAAAGCGTGGGCTAACATGTAAATGGATTCTAGCTTAGTCCTTATTGCTAATTTTTGTCTTTTTTCGTAATTGCTATTTGCCAGATTATACGAAGAAGAATACATACCTTAGGTTCCTTGTATCAAATGGTAAAGCTGGCTCTGTGATTGGAAAAGGCGGTTCAGCAATTTCTGATTTTCAGGCTCAGACTGGAGCACGGATTCAGTTGTCACTCAATCATGAAGTTTATCCGGGAACATCCGATAGGATTGTTATGGTTACTGGAACAGGTGATGAGATACTCATGGCAGTGGACTTAATTCTTGCTAAATTGGAAAGTGAGGTAATTTAATCGACATATATTTTAATCAGTATAGACTTCTGAATATTTTTTTAAAAGGAATTTTCCATTTGTTGCTTAGGTTTTGGTTGACGGTAGTAATGATGTTGACCCAAGATCAAAAGTGAGACTAATTGCACCAAATAGCTCTTGTGGTGGAATTATTGGGAAAGGAGGTGCCACCATCAAGTATGAACACCCCTTGCTGTGTTTTTTATTGCTGAAAGCATTTCTTAGTTACCATATTTTTTATTATGCTACTAGAAGAAGAACCTGTCAGCTTAAGTATGGTAATTCATGAGATGTTAAAGTTACATGCTTGCCATGTTTCTCCTATTTGTTTTATTTTCTTTTTCTAATCAAGCAAATGATTCCTTTGTTTACTTTGAATTTTTTGTGTTATAATTTTTTTTATGAGTGTTAGTTCAGTCTTAGTCTTGACTGTCATAATAAACAACCTGATCCTTTAGGTGACACTGAAGATGTTTAAAGTTGTTTCCTCCAATTGTATTCTTTATGATTTGGTTTGGAAATGTAATAGCATTTGTTTGGTACTGGCCCCCACGTGTGCCATAGTCCTGGACTTGGGGTCGCTGCCAAACTGAATTCCCATGGGTAGACTGTAGACAGCTCGACTGAGTTTAGAAAAGTGGCCAGGCGACTGTGAGAAGGCAGCGTAGATCCTTCTCTTGAGTTCATAATGCCTCAATGAAGAGACTTCAAATTTTACCAAGTTACTGAAAAATAATGAGTAATATATAGGCCGAAATGAAAAACTTGCAAAAATCTTACCACAAAATAAGGAACTAGTAAAACGAATAGTGGAATAATAAATGAGCTGATGTTGGTAGGGAGACTTCAAGGGTGGTCTTTGTCTTTTATACTTGCAGTAGAATACTGCTTTTAACCATCTTATGACAAGTGGCTTTCATACATTCCTTGGAGGAGCTGCTTGTCTTAAAAGTCTTTTTGAAAGAAGCCGTGCATCTTCAAAAATCCTCCTTACAATTTTTCCATGTCTAATGTTGGACAACGTCTCCCTTCCCCATCTTTTGAGGAGACCATCCATGATATAGAACTCCTTGGAAGTCTCCTATTATTGATTAACTTATATTCTAGACCGAATATTTTGGGAAAATATTTCATGTATCTCCAATCACAGGAAATTCTATCAGCCTATCTGAACCAAATACTTTCCCTAAAATGTCATCTTAGAAAACCCAGTATTTTGCACCACTCTTCAAGTATCAATCACAACAAGATCTATCATTTTCGGGCTTCCTTAAATTTTTGATCGCCCACACTTCCTAAAATATCGGTCTCTACTTGAATGATTTAGCTGTAAACATCTCCTAATTTGTCAGTCTTTCCTAACACGTCTGTTTGCTACGGTTGATTATTTGGGAGAAAGAGGCTGTTTGCATGTTATAAACTGATTTTTTACCCTCACATAATTTTTTTTTTGTTTGGGGGGGGGGGGGGGGGGGGGGGGGGGGGGGAAGCTTTAAGTTGTTTTGGTCACACAAACTTGAGAGATTGTGCATTTATCTTGTTGTAGAGAGAATAAGGTTTTGGTGTTTAAATCTGAAAAAGCACCTGTTTTCCCGTGTGGCTTGATTGATCAAGTGACATGTCAATCGATTGGCATGACTTTAGTATCCTTCGATTGATAGCTCGATCGATGAAGTGCTTAGGAATCCAAAAGTTATAAAATTTTAAGAAAGTTTCCAAAACAGTTTTGATGCATACCAATTAGGCTTTTCCAAATCAAATCATGAATTATCAAAACCTTAATGCATGAATGCACGGACCTAAATTTGGTGAGGGTATATAGTAATGCCAATTTACCTTTATACCGCTGGTCTCGAAGATTATGCTTTTATCTTTATTGAAGATTGAGTTTCGTTAATGACATTGACCAAGAGGCAACTAACTTGGCACTAACTAACTTCTAAAATTCTAGCTAAACAAATAAAAAAAAAAACAAAATTACAGACTCTAAAATATGCCAACTTAAGTCCGATTGACCTAACAATATGTAAATAATTAGTTTATCATGAGACTAGCTAATATTTATTATTTTATTTTCACAAGTTTTGTGTTTTTTCACAACTGTTTTGTTTGTGTATTGTTTGAACAGGTCATTTATCGAAGACTCTCGAGCTCGTATTAAGATATCCCCAAATAATAATAATTATATTGGGTTGAATGATAGGCTAGTAACATTGACTGGTACTCTAGAAGAACTGATGAGGGCTATTGAATTGATTCTGTTGAAATTGATGGAGGATCCTAATTATGTGCAGTCCTTTAGTGTACCGTTTACATATGCAGGTATGTTTTCTTTGATTAGTTTACTAAATCCAATTCAATCTATTCACGCATCAAATTTAGTGAGGGCAGTTAATGAGGGGAGGGGCATCTGAGAGGGAATTTTTCTGTGGGATTGGGCATCCTATATAGCTTATCATCGTTATACGTCATATGATAATGTATATCTTGTAACTTGGTTAAACAATGCTCTTTGTGAGATCTACCCAAAGCTTTCTAGGGGTCAATCTGCTTCATCTCTTTGCAATGGTATCATATCCTTTTTGAGAAAAACAATTGATTCTATCAATTTAAATGACAAAATATTACATGCTCATGCTAGATATTTCTGGAAAAGGGTGGCTTCACTTTTCATGACGTGCTATAGGAAGCATACCAGCTTTGCACAATATTTCTCTATTGATATTCTCCACACAAAAAAAGTCTAAAAAAATGAATGTTGTTTACAGTGGACATCAACTCCACCTGTGTTTGTTATGTTTTTTGGCAAAATGGTTCATATAATTTTCTAATGATATGGAATTAGAAATGGAAGTTTGTGATTTAAATTTATCTTCCCTTACCAATGTAATTTTTTCACCTTGATAAGTTAAGTTTGTTATTAGGTAATCATCTTTCATTATTTGAGTGATCCAGCTGAGATTAGTTCTTCATCTTTTTTTTTTTTTTTACTTCCTCCTGGTAAAGAGTTGCTGGAGAGCTTCTTTCACCTTGAAACTTGGCATGTTGCTGAATCTTGAACTCTGATATGGTCTTTGGTGAATACATTGCATAAATTATTCTGCTTGTTTTCTTTATATGTGAAAATTGTAAATGCCTAAACCCCAGTGGGAGAATTCTTCCCCTGCAAAAGCCAGGCAATGTGAAATTTGAAGATTTGTGTATATAGGAAATCAGAGGCTCTTTAGATATCTATTATTCAACCTCCTGCTTTCCCTGTTACTGTTTAACAAATAGCGGGGACAATTTTTTGACAAAGTTTGTCATTATGCAGCTCTGTTTTATAGCATTGATTGTTAATTATGATACACAAGAACTTACTGCTGTTGATTTGAATTACACGCTTCTCCGTGGCTGCTGATAGTGTTTTATTTCGGAAGTATAATAGCGAAAGATGATGTCTAATTAGTCTACGTAAATTTGAATTTTAGGTGTTCTATATGCTGGTTTTCCTGGTATTCCAAATCCATATATGCTTCCGACTGTTGCAACAACAGGATACAATGCAATGAACTTTGGCCCCAGTGGAGCTAGAGGAAGACCTCAGAATAGCAAGGTTCATTCTCCTCAAATATTTTCTTTGCTATGTATGCTTTATTTTTCTCAGAATACTTGTAATTGCATTTACAGTAGACTATATTACTATTTTGATTTGGCATAGAAGATGGCTATGTAGAATTATTTATTGGTGTGCTATGAGGTGGGGCTTCACTAGGAACAAGCGACGCCCATTCTTACACACATTGGTCCACTGGTATCCATCCTGTATCTCTCTGAGTTTTCCGAATCCTATCCTTCTATATGCTTTATTGGAACCTAGCCTGAAAATCCCTGAATAGTGTTGGGATGTTTAGGTACATTATTTATTTATTTATTTATTTTTTTGGGGGGGTGGTGGGGGTGCTCGAATCTTCTACCTTCCATTTGGAATGAGGAGGATATTAGACTTGGGCTAAGCCCGTCGTGGTTGTTTAGGTACTTTTTCTTATGTTGTATAATAGATCAATGCTGGATTAGCTTAAGTTCAAGTTCGAAAGTGTAATATACCCTTCTCTGCTGGTGGTCATCACTGCAACTTAAATGTCTAAAACACAACTACGGGTGTGGTCTCCTGGGAATGATTGCTTACATTTTCTTAAGAATGGCGAATGTGGATTTTTACGGGCTCTGTAGCTTGTTTAGAACATCTCTGTGTTATCCTTCTACTTGAATTTTGTGGACATTCATGTCTTCCATTCTCTCTAGGGTTATTCAATTATAAAGTGTATTTGTCTTCAGTCTGCATTAAATCTCCTGTAGTCCATCAAGTAGTGTAATAGATTTTATCATGCATTACTTTCTTTCTGTAACATTTATAAGTTCATCGAGTTTGATTAACAGAAGCCTCCTGGGATTTTGCAGGAACCTCGGGGTAACTCGGTGACTATTGGTGTTGCAGATGAGCATATTGGGATTGTCGTCGGACGTGGTGGAAGAAATCTTATGGAGATCAGTCAGGTACACGAATGGGTTTCCTTTTAGCTCCTTCCTTTCCTACATCATCTCTAACTGCTTTCTTTGTATTTTGCAGTATAGTGGAGCTAGGATAAAAATATCAAATAGGGGTGATTTCATGTCCGGGACAACCAATAGGTATATAATCTTTTTAAAGCCATCTATCGATTAATTGGCGGTGAGTTACAGAAAAATGAATGTTCGAACTCATTTGATTTTAATACACCTTATTTGGCAGGAAAGTGACCATCACAGGGTCACAGAAGGCAATTAATTTAGCAGAGGCCATGATACTCCACAAAGTAGCTTCTGCTTCCGAGAGTTGAAGGTGGCATTGCAAGTTATACTAAGCCTGAGATAATTTTTTTTTTTTTTTTGAGGAATCATCGTTTCGTTGAAATATTAATTTTAAAAAATTATTTTTCCCCTCCTCCAATTCTGAGGTCTCTTAATTGGCTTCAGTTGATATTCATCATCAGCTTTATTGTTGTTAGTCATCATTATGACCGTTGTATTCTTTGTTCTTGATCATTCATGCCTCACGTCAAAACCATGGGGGTATTATAAAGGGCTGTTTGGTAGGGATTTTGACTTCAGGGAGTGATTTGTATAAAAATTGGGTTGGGCTCTCCTGGAGGGCAGTCGCTGTTGGAACTGTATGGTTGATTGTTACCATTTTTGTTGATTTGAGAATGATTAGTTTTCTTTTTATATTCTTGATTCTTTGATGGAATTGATAGTAGTGATTCCAAAATTGTTAGGTTGAAGTTTCGGTTACTATAAATATTGAAGAACAATGACACACGTTCAGAATCTCGAATTCTGAAAGTGAGAGGGAAATGATGGGGCTCACCACCTCTCTTGCATTCTGGAACTAGAGTTTTGCCACACGATTCCATTCGAGATGTGAAATACATAGATCAATCCAATGACCGGCCTTGCTCGGGCTTGCCCTATAGATATAATTCATTTACGTCCAAGCAAGTCTGGTCGTGCACCAAGATACCTGAACTTACATATTGTCGTACGGGTTAATTCCTTGCACACACTTTCAATAACATAATACTACGGTTTGGTACGGAGGAATGGAATGGAATGGAATGGAATGGAATGCTCATTCCAATCATTTATTTGTTTGGTATTCAACTTAAAGTAACCTATAGAATGATCATTCCATTCCCAAGTAATTTATTTTAAAAAATCAACTTCTCAAAACATCCTCATATTCCAAGTCCAAAAACCACCATTACCTTCCACCACAATCATCTCCACCTTTCATCACCACCACCACTACCACTGCCTTCCACTATCACCAACTTTCACCATCGCCCATCACTTTCCACCACCACCGCCTCCATCGTCTTTCACCACTGCCGCCACCACCACTGCTACTGCATTTCACTACCACCACCACCACCTTTCACCACCACCACCATTACTGCCACTACCTTTCACCACCGTTACCGCCACCGTTTGCCACAACCACCACTGCCACCTTTCACGACCGCTACCTTTCACCACCTTCTACCACCACCATTGCCATTGCCTTTCACCACATTCCACCACCACCGTCGCCTTCGCCTTTCACCATTGCCACCGCCTTCCACCATCACCCCTGTTATTGCCTTCACTGCCACCACCACCGCCATCGCCATAGCCCATCACCACCGCCGCCGCCTTCCACCACCGCCAACAACACCGCCATCACTTTCCACCACTGTCATCGCTTTCTACCACCTTCCATCACAACCACCATCACCACTACCTTCCACCACTGCCACCGCCACCACCTTTCACCATCACCACCACCTTCCATCATCGCCGCCGCCTTCCAACACCACCGCCATCGTCACCACCTTTCACCACCACCGCCACTTCCACTACCTTCCACCACCAATATAGTCACACCATAACCACCACAATACTGTCACCGCCTTCCATCAATACCACTGCCACCTTCCACTACCACTGCTGCCACCAATTTCCACCATTGCCACCACCGCCACCTTCCAACACCACCACCTACACTATTATCGCTTTTCACCATCTACCACCACCACTGCTACAATTTATTTTTAAAAAATTATTAGAGAATATCATTTTGTTAATTTTATTTAATTTATTTGTTACTAAGAGGATATTTTGGAGAATTCAATTAGAAATTTATTCCATTCTAAAATTTAAATTGGTCTAACCAAACCCTGTAATGGTTATTATCATTCCATTCATACACATCTCATATTTACAACCAAACAATAGAATGAGAATGACCATTTTATTCCATTCTCACTTGAATTTCATCCCATTCTGATAGTGTATATTTCTTTACTTCAATCATATGCATTTAATGCTTTTCTTAGTATGCATAGTGAATTGTAGCAATGACAATTTTTAGAGTAACTTACAAGAAATTGTAATTAATCATCTACTTTTTAACGTTAAGGACTAGAAGGTTACTTTTTGCTTACGAGAGTTTAATTCTCAAACATTAAATTCATTATATATTAACATATACTATATTAATAACGTAATAAAAATGCGTGAAAAATATATAATTTCTTTTATGTTTCCCTTTTTACATGTTCGAACATTTTAAAACAAATAATATAAAAATATGTTGTTGTTCGATGGTTAGAATCTGGACCTATAATGATATTGATGCTTTATGTGACAGACATTCTAAAATTATCTAACACTTGTGTGGAATTATGTAGGTTTGCATAAAATACTCTGTATTTCTATAGCCTGCAGAAAAATGTTTTTTATAATTCAATTTTAGAATCTTTACACTTAAAAATATTCGTGTTAGTGGTTATATATGGAGGCTAGTTCTATGCATTCACTTCATGCCTATATGAGGTAGAATGGCATTCAAGCAGTTTAAAGGGTGGAGGGAATATGTTTTTTTTGTGTGGGTATATGGGTCTTTTTCATTTCTTTTTTCTTTTTTTGGGAATAGTAACATTAACTCTCGCACGACGTCGTTTAACGCAGCCGTCTGATTTTTGAAGCACTTTAATAATGATATATATACACTTTATGAGTAGTAAAATCCTAAATAAACCTGCGACTCCAAAACCCTAACCTTAACCCTAGCCTGCGACGCAAAGAGGAGTAGTCTTCCCGAATCCTCGTAACATCTTCAATGGCAGTAAGTATTCTAAGATTTACTTCAACCTTTTCATATGGTTTTGTATACTTCTATTACTTTTCCCAGAAAATATTTTCCGAGATCTTATGCTTTAGTTCAAAATCGCGTTGCATTCCGATTTTTTTTTTCCTCTTTCTTTATTTTTTATAATTTTAGGCTTTCGATATTGTCTAAATTGATGTATTTTGTGTAAGGAGTTATAAAATAAAGCAGATAAACACTTGTTCGTGTGTCAGTTTGTGTGATGCGCAGGAAAGTAACTTTACTGCAATTGAGCTGAATCTCATTGCAAAGTCATAAAAATTTATGCACTGTATTAATTCGTGGCTGATATGCAAACAATATGTTGTTGTAATATATGAATTTAGTTTTCAAACGTTAAAATTATAGTCTTTGTTTAATTTTTTTTTTTTTTTTTCTTTAGCTGGTATGTAATTTTTTATTTTATAATTTTGAAGTTTGATAGTTAATAGAATTGGAAGGGGCTATTGCACTATTAAGATATTCTACTTGTAACAGTTGACAAGAGGCTCGTAGGACCAAATTTGACCACCCTGTTTAGGTCATAAATTGTGAAGGTTTTTCATGTTGTCAATCTTACATCAATTTCAAAATATATTGCAAGATGCTTTTGCTTTTGTTGTATGGATAAAGTTATTTATACTTCACATGTAAACCTTGAAATTTTCAAAGGTGAATTAGAGATGAAATGTCATCAATAAGAATAAATGGTTTGGTTGCATGGATTAGTTTAAAAGGATTCTGTAAACAATCTAGCTAGAGGTTCATTGGTTTTGAAGTTTGTTGTGGAATGGCTTAGGGAACACACTACGACTTGGGTTATAGTTGTTGTAAGTTCATTATGCTAGCAATGATTAAATTTATTTATTTATTTATTTTTTTTGAGAACAGAAATATACACCTAACTGGCCTAGGTTGAGGCATTTCATTCCTGCACAAACTGCCCATCTACATTTCATTTGGTTGAGCCCTGAGGCATTTGCTCTCCTGATTTGAAGATTAGATATTAGCTCTTTAATCTTATCCCTTTTAAAGGGTTATAATTTTTATATGACTTGGTGAATTGGATTTTTTCATCTAATTGACTGGTTGTGATACTGGATTTTTTAAATTAGGTTTTGTAGGAAGTAACTTGCAGGCGGTTTACACTTAAAAGGGTTTTGAAAAGGAAAATAGGTTTTATGAGGTATGTTTTATTGGGTTAAGTGTGTATCGAGTAAAACTACCATAGTGACAGTAGATTTTTAATGCTTGAAATTAAGAAAAAGAAGTATAATAATAAAAATAATAAGGAAAATAAGAACAATAACTAGAAGAAATGAGAAAGAGAGAGAAGAACAAGGGAATCACACTTTCACTAAGCATGACTAAGGTTGAAGCTTCTCATATCAATTATTTACCATCTCCAAAATGATGATTTGTTGATTACCTTCCATGGAACATTAATTACTAATGTTTATATTTTTGGTTTAGAGTGAATCTTTTTTATTTTTTTTGGGATAAATTTTTCAATGTGTAATTGATGGTGTATGTTTATGTGATACGGAACCGAAGGGCTACATTTCATTGGCTGGCAATATTGTTTATGACTTCTCGTCAAAGTACATTTTATGCTTCACGAGCTATCTTTGATTGTTTAATTGCATTAATTATTTATCTGGACATTGCAGACTGTACCAGTTAATCCAAAACCGTTCTTGAACAATTTGACTGGAAAGCCTGTCATTGTAAAACTCAAATGGGGAATGGAATACAAAGGTACCTTGCTTTCAATTTTTTCCCTCCCCTTTTTCTGTGTCTTTTTTTTTTTTTTTTTTCTTCATTTTCCTGCAATCTAAATTTCTTTTTACAATATATGTTTTCCTTTCAGGTTATCTCGCCTCTGTAGATTCGTACATGAACTTGCAGGTATCACCACAAAGTCTATCATGAATTTATTTGTATTCGGATATTATGTTTGTATTTGCATGCTTGTTTGCGTGTGTGCATGTCTCTGTCTCTCTGTGTTTCAGAATCTGCTCTTATTTGTATATGATGTATGCTTTTTGTTACAGTCCTGATATGTGGTTCCTGAGGCACCATTTTGAGTAGCTTATGCAATTTAAGATTGTCTTTGCAATCTGACCAAATGATAATGTTCTTACACGTGATTTATATTTTTTTGCCATGGTTGCGTGAGGGAATTGCTGTATTTTAGAGCTATTTTAACCTTTCTCAGCATTACATACATTTTAATAATTTATGTGATCTAATCTGCAGCTGGCTAACACTGAAGAATATATTGAGGGCCAATTCACTGGAAATCTCGGAGAGATCCTAATCAGGTAACTTCCCCAAATGCTGTAGTTTTCCACTTGAATCATAATACCCTAACAGTACCATGATACGCAAGTTTCTCAAGTTTGAGTCGTATGTATTTTTGTAGAACTTTCACATACAGGTGAATGATCTTGAAGCTCTATCTAGTTGCCAAGAAGATGAAAATGAAAATATTAGTAGTTTGCACTGGTTTTATTGTGTAATTTTGAAATTTTTTTTTAGTTCCTCCACATTTTCAATGACCAGATAGAGCAAAAGCTATAAGATGTTAAAAGTTTTTGAGGTTTTTCTTCTTGGGAGAAAGAAGAGGAGTGTAAGTGGATTTAATGATATATGGAAAAATCAAACTGGTTTCTGCACATACTATGCAACCATTTGGGTACGACGCTCCCCCCTCCACCCCGCCCCCCCTTCTTCCTTTCATTTTCTTATTTTTCCAAGTAAACCTGGTTGAACTGCGACTAATTTCCATTTGTATTACCATAATTTGAAAAAATTTGGGTCTCGATTTTGTGTTTTAATTGTTTTCCAACTCCATTGATATTGATGTTTTCAGTTTTGTAGTAAATCACATAATTTCCAATACCATCTTTGTTGATAATTCGAAATGTCTTTCCTGCTAAGTCCTTGGTGTCATTTTATGTTCTATTCTCCTCCATGTGTTGTTGTAGGGATGGAAAAATGGATAGAAGGGAAAGGAGGAGGGATGGATGAGACATCTCTAGGTAGGGATGGCATTCATCCCTCCTTTTATTTGGTAAAATGGAAATAGATGCTGTTGTTGTTTTACTAATATACCCTTAAATTGTGGGCCATGAGGGATGGCTCATCCCTCCATCCTTCTCTTCCCTCCAATTCTCCCTCTTACCAAATGATTGAGACTTATTCCATCCCACCTCTTTTCTATCCTTCGCTCCTGCCAAATGAAGCATAACGGTTTGAACTTGATGGACGAGGTTTTTGATCAATTGTAGTTCCCGTTTATGAAGGTGCCACAAAAGTTGTATTGTACACGGTATTTCCAAAATGCGTGGGCGATGTGTCTAATCCACCATGATGTTGAAAGGGTTATGTTATACAGTACTTTCAACATGTTGATTTCACTATTATAGGCCTGAATTGTATCATAGGATTAGATTGAAGTTCTTTTCAGTATTATTAATTGATTAGGATGGTAAAATGGGTTATGTAAAGCCATGTGGTGATGAGTCCTCTTTCCTCAAAACTCATAAAAAGAAGGGGTACAATGGTGGCCTGAAATTTTGAGGCTAAGTTGAAAGGAAGGTCAAGGGGGAGGGAGGTTGATTAAGCATTGTGTAAGGAATTTTGTTACTGAGCTACTTACAATGGATTTGATCAGCCTATCATCATCTTCATCCTTGCTTTATTCCTATATGAATGAGGTCGGCCACATGAATTCTCTGTATCCATTGCAATCTATCACCCACCAAATCACCTGTTATTTTTAACTTTTTAAAGTATTTCTAACAACATCCCATGTTATTTTTGGTCTCCCATCCGTCTCTTACCTTCTATGGAAATTGAACTTCTTCTTCTTACCACCTACCGGGGCATCTATAGTTCTTAGGTTTATGTGCCCTAACCCTCTAAGTCTACTCTCTCTTATTTTCTCTTTGATGGGTGCGACACTTAATTTTTCTCTTACACTTTCATTTGTGACCCTACACCTTCTAGTCACTCCAACTATCCATCTTAAAATTCTCATTTTCACTACATGAAGACGTTGTTTTGTTTCCTTTTTAAAACCCAACATTCCTCTCCATGAAGTATAGTTGGCCTAATAATGGTCCTATAAAATTTTCCTTTTAACCTATTTGTTATTCTTTTATCACGTAAGATGCCACTAGATTGTCTCCATTTTGTCCACCCCGATCCATTTCTACTAGTTGTATCACTATCCATCTTTTCATCCTTTTGTATTATTGATCCTAAATAGTGAAAGTGATTATTTTGAGTAATCTTTCGGTTATCGAATGTTATCATTATATTATCATGAATTGAATCTTTATTAAATTTACATTCCATATATTCCGTTTTAGTTCGACTAAATCTCAATCCTTTTGATTCTAAAAGCATTTCTCCATATTTCTAATTTTATTGCTATGTTTTCCTTAGAAGTATCTACTATAACACAATATCATCGGCAAACATAATGCACCATGGAATGTCTTCTTGGATATCTTTTGTTGTTTCATCTAAAATTATTGCAAATAGGAATGGACTTGGCACCGATCCTTGATTTAATTGTATGACTGATTAATTTAATTCCTCTATAATTGCCACTTTATTGTATATCACTTTTTTTTGGGTACTATTGTACTTTTCCTCCACTCATTTGGGCCCGTACCTTCTTTTAGAATGTTGTTAAACAACTTTGTTAGCCACTCAATTCCTACCTTCCCTAATGTTCTCCAAGTTTGGGTATATTATCTGGACCTACTGTTTTATTACTCTCCATCTTCTTAAGTGTGTCCTTTACTTCTTTATTGGTGATCTTGTTTATCATTCCTATATTAAATTTTATTTACTTCAACTTCCTCTCTAAGGTATCCCTCACTTGATAAATTCAGAAGTAATTTTTTCCTCTTACTAATACCTCATTTTCTTATGACTAAAATTGTATTATCTACTTCATTCATGTCTTTAGTTGATCTATCTGGGTTCTTTGCTAGTATATAAAATAACTTTTTCACCCTCTTTCTTGCCTAGTTTTTCATATAAGTCATTTAGCGAGTTTTGCTTAGCTTTAATCACTATCTTCTTGGCTTCACTTTTGAGCTCATTATTTGTGGCTAAATCTTTTTGTTGCTTCCGATTTCTTCAGCAATTGATTAAATATTTTAGAATTGCAGATTGTTGGAGCATTATTGATACCTTGGTACTGGATAGAAACTTTTAAGGGAACTTGTAACTAATTAATCTATTACGTATGGAACTGGACATTCTACTTTCAGATCATTTAGCTGAAGTAAAAGTTGCTACTCGTAATAACATTTGACATCAATGAAACATATTGAGCTGAGAATCTGAAACTATAGTATCACGGGCAATTAAATCCCTCTGCTTACAGTCACACACAGAGATGAATCCTCCGATAGGAAGAGCAAATTGGCTGCCAAGATGATCTGACAAGCAGCACAATTTAGGGCCACACTAAATATCATGTTTTCTTGATCAAGGCATATTTCTGGCATGACTTAAAATACTCGAACCTTTAAATGAGTTGCTTTGAGAGTTGTCGTTAAAATTAGTTATCCCACCACGGGGCCTCTAACCTGGATGGTATGATCTCTCCTCCCCAAGGGGGAGATTGAGAGTTCGAGCCCCATTAGGGCCATGTTGTGGGTATTGGTGTGTTTATCTTTAACTTCCAGAAAAAATTAAAAATAGTATTCCATCATGGGTAAAACATAGTAAGTAAAATATTTCACTGGAAACAAGGTACTCATTGGAGTACAAAGTGTCACTTCAACGTCACATAAAAACCTCCAAATTTTGCTGATTAACTATACTGCCTATTTGATACACAATTATATATGTACTTTGTAGAAGAATTTTTATAGCAATAAATTACCTTTATATGAATGGTTAGCACTTGTCTGATTTGTGTATTTTCATTGGCAGATGTAACAATGTTCTTTATCTTCGCGGGGTACCGGAGGATGAACAAATAGAGGAAGCTGCTCAAGACTAAGTAGTTAGTCATTGCCCTCTGAATAGAATTCTGGTTTCTGTTTGGATCTATTGTTATAAACCCTCGGCAGTTGGATGCCCTTCCAGAAGTGTAGGTGGTTATTTGATGCATACACTAACTCTATCATGTAAAATATGCTCACTTGAGCAGATGCCATCTCTGTGAAATGTTTTTTTAGTTCAACTAAACTAGCATGGAGTTTTACTATTTCGTCGAGATGCTGGATTTTGCATGGCAATGAATTTGCGGATTTCAAGATCACGGCAGAATCCGTATTATTCGTTTTCCAAAATCAAACAATTTTTGTGCATGATATAGTTTATCACCTTTGATATCATGCTTCTTTTTGGGCAAATGTTTGGATTGATTTATCCCTATGCATTTATTCACTTTTACTTGGTCTATGTTGTATGGCTTGTATTTTGATACAACTTAAGGGATTGCTCTGATTGCCATAATAAAACCAAGTCTTCTCATTTTCAATCTTTGAAATCAGGTAAGCCATTGAAGTGGCTCATATGTGGATCTTGTTGAAGAAACTTCAAGATATGTAACAAAATTGTTGTTTCACTGATAGAAATTGTACCATTTTTTAGCCATGTTCCAGTTTGGGAAAAGAATGGGAGAACATACAGCATTATGCGCTGGAAAACAGAAATGGATCTACAGAAATCAGTACAGATTTGTCTAAAACAATGTAACAATTAATGCGAAAGCCTCTGTACTAGGTTTGCTTTTTTTAGGGTAAGCTATGGTAAGGTGGTTGTATTATGGTTTGGAGGTCACGGGTTTTAAATAAGAAAACTTCGACTCTTGATGGAAGATTGTATACATCTACCAATCAATCCCGAAATGTAATAATACAAGTCGATTTAGTTTAATTGTATCAATTCTCTAACGAAAAGTGGTGGAACTCACCTAAAAATATCTCCATGATCTTATAGATTCATTACTAGAGTTGTGTCAAGCGGACTGATAATTCGGAACTTTTGATTAGCTTCAAACTCTTTTTTGACAGCTTTATTTGTGGTGGGCCTTCGGCCTCTCAATATCTACGATCATAATTGACATAATAAATATGATTCATTGAATAAATTTTTAGATTCTTAAGAGTTATTTGAACTCAAGTCAAAGTCAGTTTTTAATTTATATATATTTTTTCATAAATATGCAGAGTAATGGCATACAAACTCAATATTTAAAGCCAACTAAATAACGGACTCTGTGATCAATAAATCCATGTTGTCAATTTCAATTGGCTCAATTTTTATTTATTTATTTTTCACATATTTATGTATATTACGCTAATCAAACATGAATTTAACAATCTTCACAGTGGATGTTGTAAGACTTTCTATATATCATGTTAAATGAAATATGATATATATATATATATATATATGTGAATTTCAAATCTTGTCTAGGTTGGTCTCTCGATTCATCCAATGCCAATGGTGTGTTGAAAGTTCGAAACCTGGGGGCACTACAGAATTTCCACAACCCCACAAACACGCAGTCACGCAGAGATCACCGTTGACTGAGACCGATTTGACCCCCGAAATCGTTTAACGCACACCGTCTGATCTTAACCGACACTTTCAATTGTTCTCTCTCAAGTCTCAACCTTTCAGCTACAAGTCTCAGCCCAGAAATCTGTAACAACTCAGGTATCATCAATACTCCGCTTTTTTTTTTTTTTTTTTTTTTTTTTCCAGTATTTGAATTAGGGATGCATATATACACATTACACAAACTCGTATCATATGTTTCATTCAATTACTGAATTAAAATGGATTAAATTTCATGCTATGTTCTTGATCTTGCTATTGTTTAATTTCAACTAAACAACTAAATTCAATGATGATATGGTGGTGATTAGTGTTCCAGAACAGATGTTAGTGCAAATCAGAAGAACTGTTTGAAGTTTTCAAGATTTCTAGAAATGGTTGAATTATCGATACATGTATACACATTACATACACTCATATAAGATGTTCATGTGAATAACTGAATTTGAATTGGATCAATTTCATGCTATGTTCTTGATCTTGCTATTGTTTAATTTCAACTAAAACAATTGAATTCAAAACAGGTATTAGTGCGATTCAGAACTATTTGAAGTTTTAAAGAATTCTTGAAATGGTTGAATTGGGTTACAATTTCACTATCCTTGTAATCCTAAGTTTGATTTGTTGTGAAGAAAATGGTGGAAAAGAAAAGAATTGAACTATTTTCATTAACGTAGTTCTAAGTATTCTGAGTAGTGGTTGAATTAGTTTATTTTCCTCTCCTTTCTTCCCTTTTCTTGCCGACCCAACTCTGTCTTGACTTAAAAATGCTTGGATTACGTCAATTTCCAATAAGTTAGATGATGTTAGAGACCTTAAACCTACCAAAAACCCTAGTTCTGGCAATGGTAATATTACAGCTTAACTCAACTCAACAAAGACTTAATAATTTGGGTTGTGTACACCAATCCTATCTCATTTTGGGTTTTATTTAGAGCTAGACTTCTGTTAAATTAAAGGTCTTGTCTTTCTTAGCGTTATTTTATTTTTATTTTATTTCGAGAAGCCTCTAAATCTAACAAAATCACCTCATAATGGTTCTTTTTTTTTATTGTTGTACATGACCAATTTTCTTAGACTATTATCTTCTCCTCTGGATATCACCTTCAATTCATTTCTATATCTTTGGTTATTGGATAATTCATTTCTTGGGCCCCACAGACGCATACAAACACGTACACTTGAATGCATATGCCATACACATATGTATTCATATTTAAAGGATTATTCTCAATCTATCAAATATATATTTTTCATGCCTACTTACCAATTGTGATGAGTTTATTATACCTATCATGTATTTCTCCATAGCATGATTTGTGCATTCTACAGTATAGTTTTGGTTTCCACTTTTCTTTTTTTCCTTTTTAAGTTCTAAGAATAATTATTTAATCCATTATGTTATTCTTATTTCAGATAGTCATTAAGCTCTCTGAATTGAAATACTTGAGAGGCCTCCAAGAAAGTTGGTATGGGAACAGATGGTAGTAATTGGCACTTATCAATGACCTATGACCAGTGGGTAGCATTATCAGTGTCTGGTCCACGACCACCGGCTCGCTACAAGGTTATGTTCGTTCTAGAGATTAGCCTAAGTTTTGTGCTCAGCAAGTTCTCGTTCAGCGTCATTTTATTGCTTATGCTCTAAAACCGTTTTCAAGTCCATTTAGCGTCATTTTTTTTTTTTAAAAGGTATTTTCTTTATCTTTTTTACTTGTATTTTATGGGTTACTTACTTGACACGGTGAGTTTTCCTCGCACTGTAGCATGCTGCAACTGTAATTGATGAAAAACTGTACATTACTGGTGGAAGTCGCAACGGTCGGTACCTATCTGATGTTCAGGTATTGATTCTCGTCTAGTTCTACTTTTTGAAGTTGGTTCCTAAAATAATTGGCTACTTCTGCAGGTTTTTGATCTTATAAATTTAGAATGGTGTATTCTAAAACTGCAATTGGAACCAAATGCTGATAAAACTAAAGACAGTAGCTCCCAGGAAGTTCTTCCTCCTACCTCGGGTCACAGTATGGTAAGATATTGATTCAGAAATTTCTTGTTCAATTTCTGTTCTGTTTCATGTGAATCTCATTCGTTCACAAGGTGATTCCGCTCTGTATTCACTGATCAATTGACTGACGTATATGTGAATTCATCTGTTGGCAGATTTATTGGGCGGGCAAACTTCTTCTTCTTGGTGGGCTTTCAAAGAATGATTCTGGCAGTGTGACAGGTTTTTTTTCCTTGACATCAATTTTCAAACTGGCAAGAAACTAATTGATCTTCTTTTGAACCTTATTTCTTATTTACTACCTTCTTGTAGTGCGGTTCATTGATCTGGAATCACATCACTATGGTGTTATGGAGACCTTTGGAAAAATTCCGGTAACTGACTGACTTCAGTGACTGCTAATTTATATTCTAGTCTTGGGAATTTCATGTTATTGTGTCTTCTGTTTTCTGAAATAAATAAGCCAGGGAATAGGTGTCTCAACTCTTTCTCCTTTGATTCATTTATGCTACGGGAGGTTAAGCTATATTTTTTAGTTAAAAGGAAATTTTGCTTAGTTTGCTTATGGGATATATTCCAGGTAGCTCGTAGTGGGCAATCTGTAACAATGGTTGGTTCTAGACTGATAATGTTTGGTGGAGAAGACAAGACCAGGCAGCTGCTGAATGATGTCCATGTTCTTAATCTAGAGACAATGAATTGGGATGTGTTGGAGACTACGTAGGTATCTTCATTACTTTTACAGGCAGCAACTTACTTGCTTTTTGTAGAATTTAGCGTCAATTTGTGGTGCTTTGACAGGCAGCCACCTCCGTCTCCCAGATTTGATCACACAGCTGCAGTGCATGCAGAACGCTACCTTCTAATTTTTGGCGGTTGTTCTCATTCAATCTTTTTCAACGATCTTCATGTACTGGACTTGCAGACTGTAAGTGTTTGTCCTTTTGGGATATTGTTTTGATTTTGCAGTCATATTGAAACTGAGCATATGATCCTAATGTTGAATTGTTAATGTGTATTAATTCTTTTATCAAACTTGGATTGCTAATTATCAACCAAAATAAATAGAATCACTCTTTTGTATGTTAGAACAATTTTCTTCTTGTGTAGACTGAACAAGTATAAGAAACTAAACTATCCAGTTCTAACAGATGCTGGAATATTTCTAAATTATTTGCTTTTTTACATCACTCTTTTGTATGTTAAGTCCCCATGTATTGCAGATGGAATGGTCCCAACCACAAATTCAGGGTGATTTGGTGGCATCTAGGGCAGGTCATGCAGGTATCACCATTGATGATAACTGGTATATTGTTGGTGGTGGGGATAATAAAAATGGTATGTACGAACTTGGATGGTTAAATTTTATTTTGGCATGTGATTATTTATTCTTCTTGACTTTGGATTTCCCATCGGTTCTGTTTACAGGTGCCCCAGAAACTGTCAAGTTAAATATGCATAAGCTTGTTTTGTTAGTTTTGACAAGCGTAAAGGAAAGAGATGCACTGGCCAGTGAGGTTAATATTCCGTGCCTTGATTTGGAATTGTCTTTTTGGACTTTCATCTATAGTTTCTAAATAAGTAATATCAGAAGCATCAAGTGAAATTTTAAGGGCATAATTATGTAAGAATTTTAGGTCATATATTATTTTTGAATAAATTTAAAATCATAAATATATATTTTGGTAAGCATTTAGTTATTCTTTTGTTCTTTTACAGCTTCTCAACATTCACACGCTGAAGATGATAAACTCCTAACATTATTGTGGACTGTTAACATCTTTAGTGATATCCTAAAAGTCAGATTTACATCAAGATAACATAATATGTCTTGACCTGCCCCATAATTTTTAAACCTCCAAAAGTACAAGGATAATATATGATTTTTGTTCATAAACGTTGTTTACCATGAGAGATAGAGAGAACAGAGAGAACAGATCTGTATATATTTCACCTACACGCACCAAATAAGCCTATATAGGCTTATATAAGGGATACAAGTCTCCTTAATAACACAAGGGCCTACTAATATAATGTAATTACATAATGGCCCAACATATATATATATATATAACATTCTAACACTCCCCCTCAAGCTGGAGAATATATATCAAATAATCCTAGCTTGGAACAGATAGTTCTTAACCGGTTATGACCCAATGCTTTGGTAAACATATCAGCTAATTGATCTTCAGACTTCACGAATGGAGTAGAGATGCTCCCAAGCAATATCTTTTCTCGAATGAAGTGACAATCAACTTCAATATGTTTGGTCCTCTCATGAAACACAGGATTTGAGGCAATGTGAACTGCTGCTTGATTATCACAGAACAATGGAGTAGGAACTTCAACTGTCAACCCAAGTTCTTGTAGAAAATATTGTATCCAGGTCAACTCACTAGTAGTATGAGCCATTGCCCTATACTTAGCTTCAGCACTAGATCGAGCTACCACCGTTTGCTTTTTACTTCGCCATGTAACAAGATTGCCTCCTACAAATGTGCAGTAGCCTGTAGTAGATCTCCTATCTGAAGGAGAACCAGCCCAATCGGCATCTGTAAAACCTTCCACCCTGAGATGACCATTTGATTTATATAGTAACCCAACACCTGGAGCTTGCTTGAGATATCGGATAATCCGAAGAACAGCAATCCAATGTGGCATTCTAGGAGCTCCCATAAACTGACTTACAACACTAACTGCATATGAAATATCAGGTCGAGTGATAGTGAGATAAATTAATTTCCCAACTAGACGACGAAATCTGCCCGGATCATTAAATAGATCACCCTCATCAGACACAAGTTTTGTATTCGAATCCATAGGAGCATCAACCGGGCGACCACCCAACATACCTGTTTCTTCTAATAAATCCAACACATATTTTCGTTGTGATAAACTTATACCCTTCTTTGATCTAGCAACTTCAATACCCAAGAAATACCTAAGTTTACCCAAGTCTTTAGTGTGGAATCGATATTGCAGAAACAACTTCAACTTAGCAATGCCTTCAGAATCATCACCTGTGATCACAATATCATCTACATATACAACAAGAAAGATGAAGCCAGCTTTAGTGCGCTGGTGAAATACCGAATGGTCAGTCTGACATCTGTTAAGACCAAATTTGAATGCTGCCTCAGAGAATTTTCCAAACCAAGCCCGTGGAGATTGTTTCAATCCATATAGGGCCTTTTTAAGGCGACAAACAGTGTGAAGAGACTCCCCTTGAGCAACAAACTCAGATGGTTGCTCCATATAAACCTCTTCGACTAAGTCACCATGCAAAAAAGCATTTTTAACGTCTAACTGAAACAGAGGCCAATGTCTATTAGCAGCAAGAGAAATCAAAACACGAATAGAAGAAATCTTAGCAACAGGGGCAAACGTCTCATCATAGTCAATACCATAAGTCTGGGTATAACCTTTGGCAACAAGACGAGCTTTTAACCGCTCAACGGAACCATCTGGAAGATACTTCACGGTGTAGACCCAGCGACAACCAACTGGTTTGACACCTGGAGATAAAGGAACAAGATTCCACGTGTCATTCTGATGCAAAGCATCAATTTCATCTTGCATGGCTTTCCTCCAGCCCGAATCAGACAAAGCATCTTGCACAGTCTTAGGAACAAATGTAGTAGACAATTGAGAGGAAAAACATGAGAAAGATGGCGATAAGGAATTCTAAGAGACATACTGAGCAATGGGATGTTTAGTAACACAGGAGCGAGGAGCCTTACGTAGTGCAATAGGCAAGGATTCAGACACAGTGGAAGGTGTTGGATCCAAAGACTCTGAAGACGACGGAGGAGGCACGACAGCAGATGGCTTTGGTCGTCGAGTGTACACCTGTAACGGGGCAGGCAAAGGAGATCTAGGCTGAAGAGAAAGTGAGGGAAGTGGAACCGCAGGAAGAAGCGACTCAGAAGTAATATCAAGAATTGAATCACTATCTGAAAAATATGGGACGGACTCACAAAAGGTCACATCCATGCTAATAAAGTACCGTTGAGAAACAGGACTATAACAACGATAACCTTTATGAGAACGAGAGTATCCAAGAAATACACACTTTGTGGCACGTGGGTCAAGTTTATCAAAACCAGGACCAAGATTGTGGACATAACAGACACAGCCAAAAACTCGAGGAGTAAGAGAAAACAAAGGAGAATCAGGAAATAAAATAGAATGTGGAGATTTGCCATGTAATACAGATAACGGCATACGGTTAATAAGATGACAGGCAGTAAGAACAGCATCACCCCAAAACCGTTTAGGCATGCGCATATGAAACAAAAGAGCACGGGTTACTTCTAAGAGGTGTCGATTCTTACGTTCTGCAACTCCATTTTGTTGAGGAGTATAAACACATGAATTTTGATGAATAATTCCTTTATCACTAAGATAGGTATCAAAAGGGGTTGCAGAATATTCCTTAGCATTATCGGAACATAAAATACGAATGGGACAGCCAAACTGAGTTTTGATTTCTTTTCGAAATTTTTGAAAAATTAAAAATAATTCAGAACGATCTTTCATTAAAAACAACCAAGTCAGGCGAGAATAATCATCCACAAATGTCACAAAATAATGAAATTTATTGATTGAAGAATGCTTTATTGGACCCCATACATCTGAATGAACCAAATGAAAAGGACTAGAGACACGATTATTAACCCTAGACTTGAAAGACACACGATGGTGCTTACTAAGTTGACAAACCTCACATGACAAGAATTTCAAATTACTAAGACTAGGAACTTGACGCTGCAAAACTTGAAGTGACGGGTGTCCAAGACGACAGTACCACTGGAATGGAGACAGAGAAGACTGAAGAGCCACAGGATAAGGTGCCACATCAAAGTAATATAAGCCACTAGCTTCATTCCCCGTACCAATCGTCTTCTTCGTCTTGAGATCCTGACACACACAAAAAGTAGGATAAAATGTAACAGAGCACTGAAGAGATTTAGTAAGCTTACTGACAGACATTAAATTAAAGGGAAACTGAGGAACATATAAAACAGATGAGAGAGACAAGGAATCACTAAGTTGAGTTGTCCCCAAACCTGAAACCTTAGCGGAGGAACCGTTAGCAAGGGTAACTCTTTGAGAAGGAGGTACAGAATTAAAATCAGATAGAAGAGAAGAACATCCAGTCATATGATCGGATGCTCCAGTGTCTATGATCCAAGGACTGCGAGTGGAAGACAATAGACATGTGGGTGCGGTACCTGACTGGGCAAAGGTAGCCGTGGAAGATGAATTAGATGCTTGCTTATAAGACAAAAACTGAGTATACTCATCACGTGAGACAGGGACTGTATCTGATTCAACTACATTATGAGATCCAGAAGCAACATCATTCGGAGAGGAGGAAACTTGATTTGCATAACTAGATGGTTTTCCATGAAGGTCCCAACAAAAATTCACAGTATGATTAGAAAGACCACAATGAGTACATTTTCGTGATTCCCTGCCATGGCCACGTCTTCCCCGTGAATCACGACCGCCACGTGTGGAGCGTCCCCCACGACCTCCACGGAAAACAGTATTTTCACCCTTTGAAACAATCAATGCTGAACGTTCACCACTCTGCCCAGTATTCAAAGTGGAGGTATCACTGACAAGTGTAGCGCGTTGAAGTCTAGAAAACACATCAGCAAGAGATGGAAGTGTGGGACTGCCCATAATCTGTGAACGAAAAGACTCATAAACTGAGGACAAACCAGTAAGAAAACGAACAACATTAAAGTCCTCACGTTGTTGTTGCATACTGCGAACATCAGCAGTAATGGGCTGATACATATTCAGCTCCTCACAAATGCCCATAACTTTGGAATAATACTCTTCTATACTGTGACTACCTTGTTCAAGATGAAAATACTGCTTACAAAGCTCATAAACACGAGTGATATTACCTGTCCCAGAATACAGTTGCTGCAATCTGTCCCATATCTCCTTTGCAGTATCTAAATAAAGTAAAGTTGTACTAATTTGGGGTTCAATACTGTTTATCATCACAGAAATGATCTGAGCATCTTCCTTTTCCCATGCATCAAAAGAAACATCAGTTTCCTTGAGTTTCTCTTTAGTCAGATGATTACCAAGGCCTCTACCTTTGAGAAAAATTTTAACTGATTTAGCCCACAGTATATAGTTCTTCCCATTGAGTTTAACAGAAGTCATGGAAGAATGAAGACCAGAAGTGGGAGAAAACAAATCTGAAGTGGAGGCTATGTCTTACCCAGCAAAACAGAGAAGAAAATATGAAGCAGAATTGGTATTCGGGCCGAACCTGGGCAAACGGGTCGGATCCGAGAACAAGTCGGATCTAGGCAAACGAGTCGGGTCTGTACGAGCGGGTCGGATCTGGACAAACGGATCGGACCTCGGATCGGATCTGGTCAAACGGGCCGAATTTGGGCTATCCCGGGTTTACGAAACCAGGGTTGGAATAACTATCCCAGGTTTAGTAAACCAGGGTTGGAATAGCCTCACTCCTGCAGCCAAACACCACCCTTCTCCTTCACAATCAGCGCCGGCGAGAACCAGAACGCTGCCACCGACAAGAAATTTCAGCACCCGAGATTCGCAATGGAAAAACAAGGCTAGTACACACCCTAGCCCTTGCAGCGGTGACGACAACCCAACAACAACAAAAAAAACAGCGATCTAACAACGGAGCGGAGAGGGATCGCGATGATGGAGCTTCTGCAACTTGCGACAGCCAAGGAAGCCTCGACCAGCAAAACGAAAGGCGTCAGATTTGAGAACGACGAACAAATCTTCAGCGAGTCAGATCTGAGAACGACGAACAAATCTTCAGCGAAGAACAGAGTTGGCTTCGATCTTGATTTTGATTTGTAGAAGAACAACCCAACCCAGATGCAATCACAACTCCAACCCGCTCTGATACCATGTTGTTTACCATGAGAGATAGAGAGAACAGAGAGAACAGATCTGTATATATTTCACCTACACGCACCAAATAAGCCTATATAGGCTTATATAAGGGATACAAGTCTCCTTAATAACACAAGGGCCTACTAATATAATGTAATTACATAATGGCCCAACACATATATATATATATAACATTCTAACACACCTTAATGGACCTTTTTGGGCATTGAATATTTTATTGGCCTCTAGTCTAAGTAGCTCAAACACAGATACAGGACACAACAAGATAAGACACTTATACGTAATCTTGAATCCTACAAGAATTGAACACGGACATGGCTACATATAAATTTTAGTGTTTATTTATAATAATATAAATTTTTTATTTTTGTGCTATGAGTTACATAATTTAGAAGATGAAGTTACGTGTATCATAAAGATTATTGTATTATATATGCTAGTACTCTGCTACTTTATTATCACAACATGTAATTATACTTTTGCACTACATAAAAAGTGTCATTGCATGCTTGACTTGTAGAGGTGTGTTCCTTGTGGTCTGCTTTTGCCAGAGACTTGAACATTTCCATTAAATTTCATGAGAGGCTCTAAGAATTCATTCTGTAAAGAGGTAGTTTCTGAAGAACAAATTCATCTAAAATGCCATTACACTACATTTTCCCTCCAATTTGGGGTCCTGAGAGAGAGAATTATATAGAAAACTTAGTTAGTGTCTTTGCCTAGTTGTAACTTGGGGCACTTTGAAGTCGATGCCAGAGTTCAAATTTCATCATCTAATAATTATAATAAAAAAAGAAAGAAAAAAGAACTCAGATAAACATAGAAAACATTTGGAACTATGTGAACAAATTAATTACTGTCATACTCAAACCATTATTCACACACTTAATAGCCCGAACTTTCTTATTGCACCAATTAAGTGCCCTTGAAGAAGAAATTCAGCTCCTCATTCTATATGTTGGCAAGTGGCCTTGAAAATTTTCCATTTCCTCTTCGATAATTGCTTTGTTGCCATTTTTGTACTGTTTGGCTTTCACCAATTCATTTTTGGTGCATTTGTATCTTGACATTTCTATTAGAGCTGGGTGCAGGCTTTTAATTTCTTATTGAGAAACTGTGTGAGGTGACTGTTAGTTTGAAAGTCTGGAAACCACCATTAAATTTCCTTCCAAGGTGTGTGCCCACTCATCTTTGATCCAGTCAGAAAGGTTTAAAGTTATAAAATTTTAAACTATATGCAAGAATGCATTGAGTTTGATGGAAATTTTGAATTTTGGACAATTTCACTGAGATTCTGAAATCATAAGAGAAATTTGTTGATAATTTTCACACTATCTGCAAAATTTGACATTCTGACTCAGAAAAAGGAAAAAGGTTCAAATTTTGATATTTTGTTGAAATTCTAATTTTGATAATCTTTTAACATCTTGACTGAACCCAATATAAAAGTCATCTGAATTAATCTTAGGGACTTTCTGCAGAAATATTTGAATCGTTGATTGCATCTTGAGATGTGTGTTTACCTATTCTTTAAGGATAGTAGCTGTATTTCTTCATTTCTGGCATCGTGTATCTTTGTATGTCTTCTTGTGTGATTTTAACCTTCAATTATTATGGTGAGTGAGGAATTAGTAATGCAAGTACATGTGCAATTTTACTGTAAAATAGATGTTTATTTTTGTTATTTGATTCTGTCCAAGAGCTTTCTATATTACTGCCATGTCATACAAGTGTACTTGGATGCATTTTATATAGGTATAATTTATATATGCACATTGGAACAGGGGCTCAGTGTTTCCTCGGCAGTATTGAACGGAGAGAAGCTTTTGGTTGCCTTTGGTGGCTACAATGGGAATTATAATAATGAGGTATCTTGAGCAGTTACTTTTTGATATATTTAACTTAAATGTTTTGTTTGTTGGGAAAAAGAAAGAAAAAGTCGTGGTATTACATGTATGACCATGTATATCGCATGTCGCAGTTGCCAGCATGGTGTAACCCAGATAGTGTGAGGCTCTGGCATGAACCCAAAGGTACAAAACTCAATTCCTACCCCCTTCTACATCTGATACATTGGGTTTGTGAGCCACCTCCTATATTAATGGGACAAGTCAATTTTTTCACCTTCAAAGAGGGTGGGGATACCCCATGATACCAATAAAAATAAAAAATAAAAAAATAAAAAAACTTGCCCAAAGGCATGGTTGTAGCATGTAGTTTTTACATAAGACAATTTAAAATTAGTGAAATTTTATGTTCCTTTATTTGTGGCAATACTTGTAATGTTTTCCATGACTGCATGTACCTATCTGGCCGATTGCCTGCCTGGCATGGTCGATCACAGGGCTTGGGTAGTTTCCTGTTGATCAAATTCATTGCTTAAGTTATCCCATTGGTTTGTTACTTCTCTTCTCTTGTTTAATGCAGATTATTGATAATAGTGTATGCTCACGTATTCCCTAAACCCATATAATGCTTTAGTTTACTTACAAGAACTAGACTGAACAATGATACCATAAAATTGGTTTTTGTTGTTGTTATATGGTGTCTGAATTTGGCACTTTTTACTTATTCATTCAATTCTGTGCATAGACAAGGATCCAACCAAGGGATGACAACGGGGTGGGTTGAACATGGTAATAATTGATCCCAACCTAAAATCAGATGGTGATGGCAGTTGGGAGAAGTGGGTGGGGTGGGGGTAGAACCGTAGAAGTTGTATCTTACTGCCCATAATCTCCGTTGGAGGAAATAAATATACTTGGATAGAGCAATGGTGGGTGGTAAGATGCATGCATCTAGTGATGCTTAAATGATGCTAATCCAAGTCTTATCTTATTCCAAGGAATGATGAGGACAAAGAACGTGCTTAAATGGCTCACCACATGGCCCCACAAATTGGTATAAGGATTTTTGTTGCGCCCCACTTACATGCTAATCATGATAACAAAACTATGCCAAACTCTTTTGAGGCTCAATCTCTGGCTCCAGTTCCATATTATTACAGCAACAATATTGTGATGCTTGTACACCCACTTTTACCAGGAAAAAAAAAAAGAGGAGAAAAAATGTGACGCTTGTAACAATCCTTCTGTTGCAGCAAAGTTCTTGGATTCTATTTGTAGAACATTTGAGTGCATCTCACATGCTCGGTGCCAGAAAGTGAAACCTTGTAATTGAACATGGCAAAAGTTGGTTGCTTTTCACTTGAAGTGGCATGATCACTACCAAATTCCCAATGGTAGCAAGGCACCCTGTTTTAGATAGGGTTTTGGTATCTAAGAATGCCTATTGGCATCAGTAAGCTTGAATCTCTCTTTGGTCATGCTCAGTGTGATCTTCTTTGCCAAGAATAGATTTGAGAAATATTGAGATACTGCAGCTCTTCAAGCTGAGTTGTTCGTGTGCGTAAAATTGCAGTCTACACCTACAAGGTTGTATTTGTAGGCTCTTGTTACATGGTTATTCTAAATTCTCCTAGCCTTGCAACTTCTGCACCTTAAATATACTTTGCAATCTTGCTATCTTTGATTTTGAAGTATTTCCCAAGACAATCAGTCCATAACTGAATCTGAGTGATTCGAAATAGCAATCATAGTATTGCTGAAATATGTTAATGTTATGCCCTACCACTGAAGCAATAGATAACTCGTCCCCTTCGAGGCATTGTTGCATTTCCAAATCTTCTTAAAATCATGTAGCACTTTTTATGTACGTTTCTCCTGATGTTCATCTTTACTAAGGTTTCCATTATATTACTGGAATTTATTCAGCCAATTATTGGGTAACGGTGCTTCAATCTATGCTAGTTTTTTCCATCGTGAACCAATTTCCTTTTCCTGATGCCTTGGTATGGTATGTCGTTGCAGTTTTATCTTTTTATTTGGTTTCTGTGCTTGCCTGAAACTTTAGGTATTTGTTATGAGACCCAAACCAAGGGACTCTTCACATCCCAAGATTTTCCAGTCGGCAGCAGCTGCAGCAACGGCAGCCTCAGTTACTGCTGCATATGCCGTAAACCAACCTGGAAAGTTGGACTTCATTAAAACAGAAGATTCAGACATTAAGTTAGTCGAGGACAATGGCTCTCAACAGGATCTTTCACTTGACATCAACGCAATTAGAGAAGAAAACAAGGTGTTGGAATCATTACTTGCTGAAGTTAAAGCAGAAAATTCTGGTCTGAAGGAAAAGATTGAGGAAACTTCAAGTACCCATGCCGAGTTGTTCAAGGTATGCCCGTTAGTGTAAATTGCTAACAGGTTTTATAAGTCAATGATCGTTTTTCATCCTTTTTACCAATTTGCTTTAGGAATTCCGTTCATTCAAAGGTCAACTGGGAGCTGAGAGATCAAGATGCACTAAATTGGAGGTTTCCTTTCTTTTATATTAACTTTTTACGAACATAAATTTATTGTCTTCTTTCATAAGAATGGTTGTAAACTTGTAATCAACATTGATAATGGTGTCTCCAGGCACAGATCACAGAGTTCCAGAAGATGCTGGAGAATCTGCAGTCTATAGAGGAAGAGGTTCAACTACTTCGGAGACAGAAATCTGAGTTGGAACGTGAGGTGGAGCTTGCCACAGCCGCTCAGAGCCAAAGTTCTGGTGGTGTTTGGAAGTGGATAACTGGATTACAGGAGTAAATGCGACTCATTAAAGTTGCCGGTACCTCAAAATTGGAACGGTTAAACACTGGAAAACTGACCACCACCAAGCCTCTAGGTCAAGTTCTATTTCCTCATCCTCCCATATGGGAGGTCGATGGTTCAAGTTTCCACTGGAACTTAGATGTGTTTGTTGAGTTTGGCGGCTGTATTCTTACCAACAAAAAGAAGGAAAAAAAAGGTGACGTTTACTCGCAATTGTAGCCTCAAGCAATAGGTCTAATCTTTAGCTCATGCGGGATGCCACTGTATTTATATGGTGAACATGCTTGAGAGTGAATTTTGAAATATTTTCTGAAAACTGATCATTATATGAATTTTGTGAGAACATGAGACCACATTGGGACAATGATTTATAGTATTTCTTTCAGGTGTTTCTGGGTATCATTTTGGGAGAATCCAAGTAATTTGCTTTGTATAATATATATATATATATATATATTTTATTTGATCCCATGTAATAGTAATTGTTATTTGTTTATCAAATGTCAAGTTTGTCCCGATGCCACTCAAATTATTTATACTCTCATTTTGTTGGTTCTCTTTGGTATTAAAAAAAATTACTGATTTTTTGTACTCATCATGTCTCCATACTTGCAGGGAATATACCCGCCATGTTTATACTTTATAGACATGAATATGTCCACACTAACTATTTGTCCACACTAAGAATCATTGTAAAAAACAACACACCAATGTAGTCAAATTGGAATAACAAGGTCATATATTAACACTATGATTTCATTACATTCTAAACATTCTGTAAAGTTGTGTATCGGGAGTATCTGAGTAAATATCCAGAGACACGAATTTTTGCTAGTTCTAGTCAATGAGCACAACCTGAATAAATATAGGACCCAATTTTGAAACTAATCAAAAGAATCAGGACCCACATGAACACAATAAGGTAGAACCAACCCCGTGACATTGCCAATCTGTCCTTGTTCGATATGCTAGCCATCGGTTCCAAACTGGCTGAATTTACATTAGTGTATGACAGGCCAAGAGAGAGGACGACATTGACGTTCCCAAGCTTATCAAATGTCAAGTTTGTCCCGATGCCACTCAAATTCAAGTTTCTTAAATGGATCATACCAGCAGTGAAATGGACTGAACTGGAAGACTGAGAAGGAGCATTCAGCTGAAGAATTGCATTCTTCGTAGGGAATTCTGAAGCATATGCAGGAGGAGCAGGGATGCTGCCCAACATTCGACTGGCCTGATTGAATAGATACTTGGTAGCTGCACCATCAGAAGATATTAGGTTTAACAGAAGTAGGTGAATTTGGCAGGTAAAATGCAACTCATACTGCAACTAGAAAGGAAATTCTAATGCTAGCTGGGCTAGTTCAAACTAGAATAAAATTCTCAGTGTTACCTGATTTAGACTTTTCCGGCTCTTGATTTGAAGAAGCCACAAAAGCATTATTACATCCCTCTAGGAGCTGTTGGCTTTCCCAAGTCCCTTGGTAGGTTTCTCCATTCACCTGATAGTATACAGTAATGAACTGAATAAATAACAAATCCCAATTCTTAATATTGCAGTCAACATGGGAAATATAGTTAAGTTTGAACTGTAAAATTACCATCTGAGTCAAGGAAGCTTGGTCAGATACAGGATTCTCACTTTCCACCATCTTCGAAGAATCATAATCCATATACTTTAAACTGCCATCATCCGCATCAAAGAATGTAAGGTACTCTTCAAGCATGTCAGAGCCCGAGGGATCTGCCTCAATGGTGTTTGAAAGGTCATCAGTTTCAATGAATTCTCCATCAAATGGTTGATCATTGATAGCATCAAAGAATGGTTCATCAAGTAAGTAATCTGCAAGCTCCGGATTCCAGGGATTGCTTGATTCACCAATACATTCATTTTCGACTGATTTGGCATCCAAATCGTTTTGTGCTGGCAAATCCAATACCTTCTGGCCATCAAGCTGCTCTAAGCCATGATTTTCACTTATCCCTACTGAGAGCTTTTCAGCATCATTAACAACGGTCTTTGACTCCTCAACGTAGTTGTCAAAATCCACATAATAATTCGAAGGAACAGGAGCAGTTTCTAATGGAACGCCAGCTAAAATCTGGGAAAAGGAAGTACAGAGTTTCAACACATCACATACAATTAAACTAACAGGGGAGGGGGTAAATCACAAAAACAAGTAATGTGGCTTAAATTTTAAGTCAGACAGACCAAAGATGCTGTTCCCAACACAACTACAGGATACAATTAGGAAAATGCCAAAAACTAATCATTTTAAATTGCAAGAATCACAAACCTACATATATTGGGGTGTGTCTGGAAATGGAATGCCTCGACAATTTGCATTTTGTAAAAACATCGCAAACAAAGACAGACGTGCTTCAATTATTTATTTATATTTACAAAAAAAAAAAAAAAGACAGACATGCGACAATAGAAACGAAAATAAGATAATAAACAATATTTCTTGCTGATGAGGAGGTGGAGAAGGGTGGGACTATTTTGGTTGGCAACTCTTTCTCTATTGCGCAAAAGACATTTCCGAAATACAAGTGGAAGAAAAAAGAATTTGCTGGTGTAAGAAAATTAAATTGACCTAAATTGTATCTTAAAAAGAAGTGAAAGATGAAGAATATGATGCAACAACAATTTGGAAGAGTTTATTTCGGAATAGTCAATATATGTTGTACAAGTTTGTGACCAATCTACCATGCAAGCAATATAAAGCAATTCACATATATCATGTAGGAGATACAAGTAACAGAATCAATAAACAATATCAGTTGGTTTTAACAGATGTCCAAGCTTACTTTTAATGTCAACTACTTGGGCTGGCTGAACTCGCAAAAATGTGTGCTTCACTCAAAGTCACATGTACTAATTATGTGTGAATATTTTATATGTGCCTCTGATGAACATAGAATTTCACTTATAATTTTAGGTATATATTCCATCAGAAGAAGGAGGAACCAAGGACAAGTAGGATACTTTTCCAAGTACACTAGGCCTGTCAACACTCCACACCTAACAGGTACCTCACTCCTAGCAGTTCACAAAATCTATCTATGCACATGCAATATATATATATATATATATACCCTCTAAAAATTTACACTCCTATGAATTTGAATATAAAATATTACAGGAACATTTATTCATATAATCATGCATAGATAGGGCATCAGTATCTGACAAAACAGATAGCCTACTTCCAATTCTCACTGTAGTGAGCATGGATGAGTGAGAGAGAGAGAGGTACTAATGAATATACAACAATGAAATGGAGTACAGACCTGCTCAACGTCATTTTCATCAAGAAAAGCATCGTCACCAACTACAAGCTCTTCTGCACCCCCTTCTCTAGGTACCAAAACAGGCTCATTGTCATTCTCCCATTCTTCCTCGATGAATGGTGCTCCATACTGTTCTCCATTCTTTGGCCCTGAACCACTTTTTCGAAATATTCTACACAGCACATATGCATCCTACTCCACCAAAAACAAAAGTAAAACCATATTATATCAAAATCCCATATTACTTTTTTTGTGCTTTCAGAATACTTTTGTTTTTGGTAAGATTTTCTTATGCAAAACTCACATGCTAACAAATGCAATTGCACCAAACAATTTCTTTTATATTTTTTTGTCAGAAACTGAAAACATATATAAAAGGAAGACAAAAACAGATTTTTATAACCATTGACATACAACCACAATTCCCACCTGGACAATGCCAGCTTTCTCCAATTCCTCGTCAGTGAGTCTATATTCGTGCATCACCCAGTTGGTCCTCTCACCGCATGGAGCCCGACCGCTATGAAAAACAAGGGTCTTTTTCATCCCAACAGTCCGCGACCTATGCAGGACTGCCCGGTCCTTCCCTGTAGTCTTCCAATACCCTCTGTCCGTTGCTCGATTCGTCTTTGATCCATTGCCATGTTTCTTGTCCAAAACAGTGAAGAAGTACCATTCTAAATCCCTACTCTTCAGCCTTGATTTACCTAGAACCCACAATTCACGAATTAGTCACATATCTAAAGATATTATTTATATATACATAGTGGAATCAGCTATATAAATCCTAATTTTCCTGTGTGCTCTATTTAAGGCCATAACTCAATCAAATGTTACTATACTATCATGCTAATTTTGGTCTTCTTCTTTCATAGCCAACTAATTGGGGTTGGAATCCTAAGTTTCCATTCATCGTGAGGCATCTGCACCCTGTACAGATCTTCTGATGTGAAGGTGATTTAACGTAATAACCTCTGACAATCCACATGTTATTATATATATTTATAAAATTAGAGAGAGATGAGCATAAACCCCATATTGACCAAGCAACTCAACACGACAAAAGGGGCTAGAGCTAGGGTTTTAGAGAGGCGAATTGAAGCTTATGATTCACCAAATAATAAAAAAGAAATCAAATTTATTGAGTTGTAAAGAGAAAAGAGGAGACCTGGGGAATGCCAAATTTAGAGTTAGAGAGAGAGAGAGGGGATACCTGGGAGGTCCCAAGGCTCGCATTTGTAGATGTCCGTGTCGGAGATGGCGTCGAACCGGAAAGATTTACCGCATATCTTGCGCCTGAGGTAGTACCGAACCAGTTCTTCATCGGTTGGGTGGAACCGAAACCCAGGAGCGAGCGATGTCGTCTGCGTCGCTGAATCGATTGCCATGAACGATCGAGTTTGCAGAAATCTTGGAGAGATCGAGAGACGGTATTCTAAAAAACGGCGACGTTTTGCCTAAGTGTTATTATTACTATTTCTTAACGGACAGGAACAGTGCCTTAAGGCACTGTTCGGCAGGATGTTTTGCAAATTCAAACGGCGACGTTTTGCCTGTTTGGCGAGAGCTGCCCGGAGTGAAGCGATGAGGGTCCGAAGATTCGCTTGCTCGGGGAGTGATGATGGCTGCAGGGTCCGGCACGTAATCACGTGTCTAACGGCAGATATGTTTAGCTGGCGGAGTGATTGATGCCGGTGACGCTGTGTGCGACGATTCCTTATCAAGAGAAAGAGAAAGAGGAGAGAAAAAAAACAGAGGCAGAAGAGGGATTTCAAAATCCACCTTACCAAAGTGCTTTTTGAAAAATGGTTTTAACGCTAACAAATAAATAAATAAAAACCTTCAGCATTACACTTACCTTGATATTTATATTTAAGAGGATTAACAGAAACTTTATTTTCAAATCCCATAATCAGAGGATTAACAGAAACTTTATTTTCAAATCTCAGAATCAGATTTCCAAATTTAAAACATTGTTGCAATTATGTGAAAAGTGTAGGGTTGAGCATACACCTTTCACATAATTATGCGTAATATTACGGTAAGTAGGCCGTTGCCTAAGACCCGGCCTAGAGAAATTTTTTAACCGTGTGGGTATGATATACATAGCATATTGTGCAAGTTTGCAACCAATTTATATAGCTGTATAGAACTTTAGTGGTTTTACTTTATTTAGTTAAGATGGTTATTGTTTTGAAATTATTTAAATTAATTCTTTCATGTTTGAAAATTGAAACAATTAGGTGATAGTTTGATAATTTAAATTAGTGCTTAATTCTGAATAAATTTAGCACTTATCCAATTAAATACATTTAATTACGCAATTTTGAATATACTGAAAACGATAAACCTATTTAAAATAATAATTTGTTCCCACTATAGTGACGAGATTAATGTTACAATTATTATAATAATGGTATTTATAGTTTCAAGCATAGATCGTTATATTGTAGTTACAAGAAGATGAAAACCATAATTAATTTTTTTTTTTTTTAATATGATTTTTAAAATTATAATTTGTTCCCACCATAGTGATGAGAAACTTAAGAACTAACTATAATCACCATTTACATTTTTTATTTTGGTTAGGTACATCCAATAATTTTATTCGTAATATTGACAACTAATATCGAGTAGATGAGTTAGTTGGCTTCTTCTAAAATATGATCTAAACCTTAAATGTCTTCTAAAACATCCAACGATTCGAAAAGAAACAAAAAATTTAAATTATGTATAGCTAAATTATTAAATGAATGTTAATGGAAATTTTTAGTAAATTGTGAACTAATGTTGAGGGGTAATTTTTTTTAGAGAAAAAGCCAGAAGTAAAAGAAGGTTTATTATAAAATGTTATAAATTAAAGGGAATTAAATACAGTTTACCCAAATAAATATACATTCAAACTCTTGCAAATGAAGTAAAATAAAATAAAATAAAAATTTGTACTTCAAAATAAATTGATGTAAAAACTTCTACACTTCCCTATAATTAGAATACAATGCAAAATTTAATCAGTACAATACTTAGATCCTCACCAGTGAAGATGTACATCAATCTTATTACTGATGTGGACTAATAAAAAGTAAATACGTTCCCCTTTAATTATCAAATCAAATATGGTAAAGTACATATTTATTTATTAAATAAAAAATGTTAAGTACATATATTATCTCTAATTTGAAAATAAAAAAATACATATTTATTTTTTATTGATCTACATCAAAAATGAAAATGGTATACATCTTCACTAACGAGAACTAACTATCATCCAAATAAAAAATATGTCGTATTTCAATTAATATGTTGCGAATTCTTTCGTTGAATTTCTCCCTAAATTTCACGCAACTCACGACCAGATAAAAAAAAAAAAAAAAAAAAGAAAAGGAAGAAGAAGAAGAAGAAAGAGGTTGCTAGCAACAGTCACCCTATCAGTCGCATGATTTTATTGGTGGTTTATTTATAAGGAGGTGATTTTCACATTTCACTTTTCAACGTTTGCATTATAATTTTAAATGAGATGACAATTCTAACACTAACTTTACAAGTAAATAACAATAATTTTTTAAATAACAAAACTATCCCTTTAAATTTCTTCTCTTATTTCTAATCATTATTACTTTAGGTCTCTTTTGACAACACAAAAAATAAAAGGTTCACTGATACCTTCTCAGGTTTGGTCAGATATCACATTGAAACACCTTTCCAAAATTACTATCACTTATATTAGAAATGTTTGTTTTGTCTTTTACTCACAGCCCAACCGTTACCTGCCCATAGTATCAGAGATGTAAAATAACTTAAATACCCTTTCACTTGGTCAAAAGAACTCTTTAACCTAAAAAAAATTAGATAAAAAAGGCTAAAATATCCCTAAATATTTTGTAAATTTACAAATTAAATTATATATCTTTATTTCTTATATATCTTGTCCTCTTCTCCCTCCCACTACCACCAGTGCCACAAAAACTCCATAAACACATGATGTTGTTGTTGGTGAATTTGTTGCCAGTATTGATTATGCGAGACAAGAGGAAACCGGATCATGTCAAAAGAGTTAACCATGGAGAAACTTAAAATGATTCAAACAACAATTTATAGAAATGATTCAAAGATTTTGACATAGGATTACATGTTTTAAATTTTGCTTTATTATTAATTGAATTCCTTATATAAACTTAGGGAATGTATTCCCCTAATTCTCATCAACTCTTAATTGAAAAACTAGTTTAAGGAAATACTCTGATGAGAAATTGATTGTAGTTGAAGTGAATTTCAACAAATTCTATGTTAGAGCAGGAATACAATGCTTTGTGTATGCCCCTTCATTTTGTCAACTCCATGAAATAGGGTTGAGTTTAGACAAGATAAGAATTGGCATTTGAGTGATAATTGTGAGATTTGTGAGAGTTGTAACATGGAGACACATTTCAGTTATTTCTTGATCTGTATTGCTCCATCATTTTTTATTTATTTATTTATTAATATTCCCTTATGCTGAAACACAGAAAATATAATAAAATGCTTCAAGTTCCAAGCAAATAGGTCAGCCAAGAATGGGGAAGATACGGGTGATGTGCTCAAATGGAACTCTATCTGCAGTATTTTTCTTCAACTCTGGACCATTGAACTCATTGTGAGGTAGGACAATGAGTTGGCCCCTGCCTTACTCTTCTCAAGAATCCAACCGCTGTTAGCTACATGGTGCTCAAGGAATTTGTCCAGGAAATCCCTTCAATGCTCCATCTCACTTTTTCTTTCTTTTTGAGTGGTGGATCTGGTTAGAAAAGCAGCACCTCTTGCTTTGACAGCTAAAGATGACCCGAGGTGAAGAAGTTGCAGAAGAAGGAAAAGGCTGTGCGCGTTAGAGAGACGGGATTGGGTACGTGAGAGTAATTAATGAGGGTAAAATAAACATTTTATATTGTTGATATTATGACCCGAGGTGAAGAAGTTGCAGAAGAAGGAAAAGGCTGTGCGCGTTAGAGAGAGGAGGGATTGGGTGGGTGAGAGTAATGAATGAGGGTAAAACAGACATTTTATATTGTCGATATTTAGGAATATGAAGTATTAAAAAGGTTAGGTGCAAAATTATCTTTTTGCATAATTTTAACGGTGTTAGTAACGGAAAAGTAAAATTGAATTTAAGTGATAGTAATTTTTAAAAGATATTTCAATGTAATATTTAACCAAAACTGAGAAGGTGTCAGTGTAATTAATCCAAAAATAAATTGAATAATTTTTTAATTTTTTTTTTTTTTTTTTTTTTTACGGGACCAAGAAATAAAAATTTATGTTGAATAAATTGACTCTTTTGACCGGACCAAAAAAATAAAAAGTAATCATTAAAAAAATTATTTCTTTTGATAGGAAAAAAAGTACCCCGAAAAAAAATATTTATTGAAGAAATTATATTTTTTGTCAACATCCCCAAAAGAAAAAAAAAAAAGTATGAAAAGAAGGGAATTATATATATATATATATATATATATATATATATATATAAATTATCTCTTTTGATAAAACCAAAAAAAAGAAGAAGTTATTTTTATCTAATAAATTATTTCTTTTGACATGACTCATAAAAATTTATCAAAAAAAAAAAAAAAAATTACATATTTTGACAGAAAAAAAGTTAACTTATTTGAATAATATCCCTTTCAATTGTGTGTGTGTGTGTGTATATATATATATATATATATATATATATATATAAAAGTCATTCTGGAATAAATTATTTCTTTTGATTGTCAAAAATTAAATTATTAGTATGGAATAAATTATTTTCTTTGAGAGGACCTTTGAAAAAATAAATTAGAAAGGAAAAAAAAAAGTAAAAAAAGTAAAGAAGTAAAAAAAATATTAAAGTTGTATAAAGGGTAATTATGACATTATAAATTAAGGGATAGTACAATTATGAAAAAAAAAGAAAAAGGGATAGTGCATTAATGAATTCAAGGCCTTCTTGTCATTTCTTTTAAAGAAAAAGATAAATGTAGTGCAATTGGAGAAAAGTAGAGTGCGGATATTGTCTCCTTAATTATATTTTAATCATATTATTTTATGGAACATACTTTCAAAAGAGTCTTGTCAGTTACCTTGTGACGGGTTCTATCATGTTGCCTTTTTTTTTTTTGGGTCTATTCTATCTAGACGTCTCTCTCTTTTGCTAGCTTCTAACTTGTACTAGAAAAAACTTGCTAATTTTATCCGTCGATGCCTCACTCAACGGCTTTGTTCAGAGGTATGTATTCTTTTTTGTTCTGTACATTTTTTTTTTTCTTCTTTGTTTTTCTTATCATCTCTGTATTTGTCAAAATATTTTTGTGCGTCGTTTGTTTGTGATAAGGATAAAAATAATAGGCAGCTCAAAGTCAAAAGAGAAATAAGATAAGGGTAAGGGATTTATCTTACCCAAAATCTCCATGGAATCATAATACCACATGTAACCAGAGTTACTATTCCTGTAAGAAGGGAACGATATCATCTTGGATCAGGGAGAATCTCGCTTGAAAAACTACTACCATTAATGCTTCTATAAAAGAAACGATCAGTCAACCTAAAAAGGTACGCCATAAATTTCATATTGAATCCTTATCGGATATTTAATCGTCAAGTACTAACTTGACCGTCGGAGTGCACCCGGCCGGCACCACGCCGGTCATCACTTCTCTTGTCTTGCAGGTATTGTCACAGACTCCGGAGCATGTAGATTTTTGACATCAACAGTTTGCATTTCACGGAGTCTAAATGTTGTTTTGGTAAAAATTTATGTAAAAATAA